TTCTTTCCCACTCCAAATAGTGTATTACAAATGGATGGGGATGAGATGATGATGATAGTGGTGGTGGTGATGATGAAGCCCGCTTGATGCAGCATTGCGGTGCCGGAGTCCTTGGATCGGTTCCCCCTCCAGAAGCCCTCTAGAGGCTAGGTTTCTGCCTTTTGGATGTGTTTCTGGCGGCTTTGTGCGTCCGTTCCCCGATTTGGCTTCACGAGGCAGAAGTAGTGGACGAGGAGGCGGCATCGGTGCACCATACGACCGTGCATACAAGTGCTTGCACTCGCATGCTAGGCCGTCTTTTGCTCTGGTTTCGCTGGGTGATCTCTCTTTTTCCCTTTGCCTCATTCTTTTTATGGTAGGCTATTTCATAATGAATAACGTGATTCCACCATAATTTCCTGGGATTCCTTCCATGTAATGTTATTTTCTCCGAAAGACGTTTCCTGAGGACCGACAAAAAAGCGATGCGCAGACGCAATAAATTTCACAAAGCCTACTGTGTGGGCACCAAATAACTATCAAAATTATCATACATTTTGGACTCATCAGGGGAGATGACGCCTGGTGGTGGATGCCCTACCTCGTCACTCTTGGGTTTAGGACATCAGTGGTATGCTGACGGTTCCCGCTATCACGGAGTTTCTCCTGATCTAGGAGCTGTTGCACCTTCATGTTGTTTCGAAGGAACAAGATGAGTTCTCGTGGTGCTTTTCTGCAATGATCCGATCGACATATGTGACTTTCTTCTTTGGCAGGTATTTTCTCCTTGCGCGACCTTTCTTTGGTCCTCCTGGGTTCCTCTTGAGCTAAATCTTTTCACCAAGCTGGCGATGCGGGAGCATCTATGGACGGCAGATCGACTAGCGCGCAGGCAACTCCAACACCTGGCAGCTTACTTATTGTGCTACCAAGAGCCTGAGACGCATAATCATCTGCGACAACAATGTATGTTCTTTAGGGAGGTCTGGATCCAGATTCTTTACTGCAAAGGCTTCACCATTTCACCCCTGCGTGCAATGTGACGATCCATGAATGGTGGGCCTCAGCGTCTTTGGCGGTGCACGGTAACAACAGGCGGAGGTGGACTCCCCAATCGTCCTCACTTTGTGGGAAATCTGGCTTGAGAGAAACAAACTCGTTTTTGACAAGACCGCTATGCTTACCTCCTTTGTAATTGGTAGGATTAAGGTGAAATTCGATATGTGAAGAAAGGCGAGAAAGACAAAGAGATAACTTTTGGAGGTGGGCTTAGGCGATGTTAGCATGTGATCAAAGCCGTGTTTTGTAAGTCCCTATACAATGACATGTGCTTAGACAGGTGCCAGTGAAAAAAAAACCGTTTTTTCCTCTCTAAAATTGGATTGGAGAGGTGCTTAGGGAGGGAGCAGAAGCAAAGTTTTGCTTCCGGTGCCAGCCGTTGCCTGGGAGAAATAACTGCTAACTTCAAGTTACTGTGGCTTTAGCCCAAGTGCCAGTGCAGCGTTGGACAGAAAGGTACCAGGGTAGGCTAGGTGCTACATGAATATTAAAGCAACTTAAGCACCTTAGAGCATCTACAACCGGGCGCCCTATATCCGTCTCATACGCCCGGGCAGACCGTTCGGTCACTGACCGGTCACAAAATACCGACCCAACCGGAGATCTTAAACGGGACTCAAATGCCCGGGCTGACCGGCACCCCTCATATCCGTTCCAAATGTAGGGCGGATATGAGGCAGTCCGGGCGCGCCCGCCACATCAGCCCGGCCCACCGTGGGCCCACCCCGACCCCACAAAACCCCCCGTCCGGCAGGAACCCTAGCTCACTCCGCTCCGCTCCGCTCCCCTCCCATCCCCTCCCTGACGGTCCCATTCCCCCAATCTGTCAAATCCCTAGCGTCGGGGACCATGTGCAGCACCGGCAGCCACTCCGACGGTAGCTCGGGAGAAAAGGAGGAGCTGGCGCTCCGTATCGCGCTCGAGCGCTCGCGGGTCGATATGGGCGACACCTCCGGGTCCGGTGCGACACCCCCTGTCGCCCGTCGCGCCAGCGCCCCCTTCCCGCCCCGCGTGCGGATCTGCGAGGCCTGCCTGATCTGCTCCTCCCGCCCGACGGCCTCCTCCACCTCCGGCCGCTACTCCATGTGGGCAGCGCTAGCTTCGAGTGCCCGCTCAGCCGACGCTGCGGATGCGGACTCCAGAGTCGAAGGCACTAGCTACCCGCAGCGAGAGGCAGAGGGCTAGGGAGATGGCGGGTGGGGTCCGACGGATCTGCGCAGTCCGCCCGCCACCGTCGGCTGCCCGACGAGGAGGACCGTCTCTTCGAGTGGGCGTGCCACCGGTCACTGACTGAGGCGGAGACGAATGCCCGATGGCTCCGGAGGCTCAACGCCAAGCAACTCCGGCTCGGCATTGAGCAATCCGAGCGGGAGGCGGCGGAGGCAGCGAGGGAGGCCAAGCTCAAGCGCCAGCAAGGCCGTGTCGTCTGGCGCTTGCAAGGCTTCATCGTCATCTCTGATTCCTCCTCCTCCGACTGGTCCGACGACTCTGATGTGGACCCACCTCCTGCCATGGACTCCTACAGTTGCGTCGGGGACCGAAAGGGCGAAGGGTCGATGAGGAAGTGGTGAAGATCCGTCTTTATTTCAAGTTGTAGTTTGAACTGCCCGCCGTTATTATGTGTATTATGTGAACTTTGGCTATCTTTCTATGATCTGGCTGTGATCTTTTGATGAACCAATTGGGCATTTGTATGTCCGCTCATGATCTACGTAGTTTTTATTAATGTTGCATGGTTTAGTATGAAAATAGAGGACGGAGTATGAGATACTTAGGTGTGGAGACGCAGATATAGGAAGTGCGCGGTCAGTGTCTGTGGACGCGCCCAGACGCGTCCGCTGACGTTTGAGGGGCCGGATTTGCTGAGTCCGGCTGTAGATGCTCTTATGGCGCACTTGGCATTGTGAGAAGACTTCTTTTGTGACCCAAGCTGCTCTCTCTCCTTAAGCATCCGTGCATAAGCAACCAACATTGTATAAGGTCTAAAAGATCTTCTCCTTAATACAAAAGGCACTTAGAGGTTTTGTGGTGTTCTTGAAAAGAAGAGACGCACAAGCAAGACCTCCTTCTGTTGTCCTGTTGACAATGGCGAAAACAATCCGTCACACATCATCTGTAGCTAAGGCATGATCGACAGCATCCATGGCAGCGGGCTCACCACAGAAGCAGCCGGCAGATCGGGCAGGGGCAGGTAGGCTCTGACCATAGCGAACCTTGAGTTCCGTAGAATACTATCGATTGGTTCGTCGGTTCTATTGTACGAAACCCAGTCTCCATCTCATTTTCACTGGATTCTTGCCGCAAAATGGGCATATAGGAGTAGCGATCTTTCCTCGTGAATGGGGTGCACGAGTCAATCAATCAGGCCTTCACCTCCGCAGGCAGAAACTCCATCATTTGGTAACGACAAACCACTGGAAACCGAGCGCGGCTAGATCCCCAACGTTCACTTTACCACAAAAGCACGCTCCCTCCTTTCGCGCGCGTTCCACGGGTTCAGTCTACCCCTTTACTACAACTGACGCAGTGCAACGCCTTGGCTGGCCCTCGCCGGTGCACAAGGGAGGACCATTCATCGGTCCTCAGAATCCATGAAAGCTACATGATCATGGACCTTTTTTTAGATGACATGAGTACTAATGAACTTGTGGAACGGATCCTAGACATCATCAGTGTATTACATAACTACAAGCATTCCGCCCAGGCCCCAGCCCAGCCCTGGCGTGCATGACCCGTCAGGGTCGCCGGGTCGGGCCAAAGGCGCTGACCCTAAACTACTACTCCCTCTGTTTCAAATTACTCATTACAGAATGGATGTACATAAAACTAAAATACATCTAGACATATCGTAATTTAAAACAGAGGGAGTATATCCCAATGCCCACGGTGTCATGCGTGATTCCTATCCAGAGTCAAGCCACTTTGACAATGACGCTACGGTACAGCACTCGGGCGGTCACACGCTCACACTCGTCCATCCACACCCAACATTCAGGTGGTGTTTGGTTGAGAAGTCTTAGGACTTTTTCTAGTCTCAGGGACTAATAAAAAAGCCTCTTTAGTAGAGTTTTTTTCTAGTCCCTGTAAAAAAAGTCCTTTTTGCTTGGTTTCTAGGAATTTTTTAGGCTGGTCACAATGGGGAGGAACTTAGAAGTAACATCACACACTATAATACAACTTTGCTTATGTGGCACATATTTAATGAAGAAAGAGGTGCTTGTGGTACTCCCTCCGTCCGGGTTTATTAGGCCTCTTAGCACTACAAGCATGTCCCTTTTTATAAGGCCTCGCTTTGGAAAGATGCATGCATGCAACCATTTGATTGGTTGCATTGAAAGTCATTGTTGTTGGTGCCATGGTTAGGCAATTAATACACTTCATGTTTGCTTTTTCATTGGCTGCATGCATGTGAGAGAGTGCATTGGGAGTGAAATAAAAGAATTAATGTGAGCAAATTACTATGTGTCTTGGTCTAAAAGAAGTTGTCTTTAGGCCTAATGAACCCGGACGGAGGGAGTAACTAGCTAAGTTACCGGAACATCACACACTCCAAAAAACAATGAGTCTATAACCTAATAAATACATTGTTGTATGACACTACATAGATGTTCCTACCCACTATGAAGGTAGTAATATAGAAGTATGTAAGTTATTAACTTATGTTCTTGCTCATTGTGACCAGCCTTAGGGACTTTTTCTAATCTCTAGACTAAAAAGTCCGCACCCCCCCAATCGGCCATGGCGCCCGCAAGGTCGCGACACGCCCCAAGCGGCAGCATTTAACCATGCTACGGGTGTAGGGAGCGAGTACGTGACGCGTCATAACTGCAACCTGGTACGACGAGCCCGCCCACGACGCACCGCGCTCCCTCCCCCAACCTCCCACTGCCTCGCTAATCGCTATAACTCCGCGAACCACCGCCCCGCTCCACGACACCGTCCGCCGTCCTACTCTCTCACCAATGGCCGCCCGCCGCCGCCTCCTGCTACTCCTCCTCGTGCTCGCCCCGGCGCTCTCGCAGACCGCGCTCGGCGTCAGCGGCGGCGGACAGGCCAGGAAGACGTACATCTTCCGCGTCGACCACCGGGCCAAGCCGTCCGTGTTCCCCACCCACGCGCACTGGTACGCCTCCGCGGCCTTCGTGTCGGCGGCGGCCAGCGCCGGCGGCACGCTCGAGCCCCTCCACGTCTACGACACCGTCTTCCACGGCTTCTCCGCGTCGCTGTCCGCGTCCCGCGCCGAGGAGCTGCGGCGCCACCCGGCCGTGCTCGCCGCGTTCGAGGACCGGGTCCGCCAGCTGCACACCACCCGCTCGCCGCAGTTCATGGGCCTCCGCGCCCGCCTCGGGCTGTGGTTCCTCGCCGACTACGGCTCCGATGTCATCGTCGGGGTGCTGGACACCGGCGTGTGGCCCGAGCGCCGGAGCCTGTCGGATAGGAACCTACCGCCCGTCCCCGCCCGGTGGCGCGGCGGCTGCGACGCCGGGCCGGCGTTCCTGGCGTCCTCCTGCAACAAGAAGCTCGTCGGCGCGCGGTTCTTCTCGCAGGGCCACGCCGCGCACTACGGCGTCGATGCGGCGGCGTCTAACGGGTCCGTGGAGTACATGTCGCCGCGCGACGCCGACGGGCACGGGACGCACACGGCCACCACGGCCGCCGGGAGCGTGTCCTACGCGGCGAGCATGGAGGGGTACGCTTCCGGGGTCGCCAAGGGCGTCGCGCCCAAGGCCAGGGTTGCCGCGTACAAGGTGTGCTGGAAGGGCGCCGGCTGCCTCGACTCCGACATCCTGGCTGGCTTCGACCGCGCCGTCGCGGACGGCGTGGACGTCATCTCCGTCTCCATAGGCGGCGGCAACGGCGCGGTGTCGCCGTTCTATATTGACCCAATTGCCATCGGCTCGTACGGTGCCGTTTCGCGGGGAGTGTTCGTGGCCACCTCTGCGGGAAACGAAGGGCCCGCTCCCATGTCAGTGACCAACCTCGCCCCGTGGATCGCCACCGTGGGCGCCGGCACCATCGACCGCAACTTCCCCGCCGAGATCGTGCTCGGCGACGGGAGGCGCATGTCAGGGGTGTCTCTCTACTCCGGCAAGCCCCTGGCCAACAACACAATGCTGTCTTTGTACTACCCCGGGAGGTCAGGTGGGCTGTCAGCTTCGCTGTGCATGGAGAACTCCATCGACCCGTCGCTTGTGGCCGGCAAGATTGTCATCTGCGACCGCGGCAGCAGCCCACGCGTGGCCAAGGGGATGGTCGTCAAGGAAGCCGGTGGCGCGGCGATGGTTCTGGCCAACGGGGAGGCCAACGGCGAAGGTCTGGTAGGGGACGCCCACGTCCTCCCAGCTTGCTCGGTGGGCGAGAACGAGGGCGACGCGCTCAAGGCATACGCTGCCAACACCACCAACCCGACCGCAACAATTGTCTTCCGGGGCACGGTCATCGGCGTCAAGCCGGCTCCCCTGGTGGCCTCCTTCTCGGCGCGCGGGCCCAACGGACTCGTCCCGGAAATCCTCAAGCCCGACTTCATCGCCCCCGGCGTCAACATCCTCGCGGCGTGGACGGGCGCCACCGGCCCAACCGGCCTGGAGGCCGACGCCAGGCGGACGGAGTTCAACATCCTGTCGGGGACGTCGATGGCGTGCCCGCACGCGAGCGGCGCCGCCGCGCTGCTCCGGTCCGCGCACCCCAGGTGGTCGCCGGCGGCCATCCGGTCGGCGCTGATGACCACGGCCATCGTGACCGACAACCGCGGCGGGGCCGTGGCGGACGAGGCCGAGCCCGGGCGCGCCGCGACGCCGTTCGACTACGGCGCGGGGCACATCGCGCTGGGCAAGGCCCTGGACCCGGGGCTGGTGTACGACGCCGGGGACGAGGACTACGTGGCGTTCATGTGCAGCATCGGGTACGCGGCCAACGCGATCGAGGTGATCACGCACAAGCCCGTGGCGTGCCCGGCCGCGACGGGCAGGAAGCCGTCGGGGTCGGACCTGAACTACCCGTCCATCTCCGTGGTGCTCTACGGCGGCAACCAGTCGAAGACGGTGATCCGCACGGCGACCAACGTGGGCGCCGAGGCGTCCGCGACGTACAAGGCGCGCGTGGAGATGGCGAGCGGCGGCGCGTCGGTGGCGGTGAAGCCGGAGAAGCTCGTCTTCTCCCCGTCCGTGAAGAAGCAGAGCTTCGCGGTGACGGTGTCGGCGGCGGCCGCGCCATCCACCGCGGCGCCGGTGCACGGGCACCTCGTCTGGTCGGACGGCCGCGGGCACGACGTCCGGAGCCCCATCGTGGTGACGTGGCTGCAGCCCATGTAATTGACAAGTGGGGGCACGCCCGGTCCGAGAGCGGTTGCGATAAGGCAGTGGGCGTCGGGCGAGTGAGCAGAAGTCAGAGAGAGTTGGACTGCGGTGGTAACGGTTGCGGTCGGGTTTGCTGCGCATTGAAGGTGGCAGGGCGCAGTAGTTTAATTACGTAGGGCCTTTTTCTCTGCTGCGATTGATTATTAAAGCGCGGGCAGTGAGATACTCGTAGAGTACAGTGACAGCAGTGTGTGTGCAGCAGTTTGTTTGCTTTCGCGGGCAACGCTAGTTGCCGCGGGAGCAACGGAAAGAAAGGGCCAAACATGACAAAACCGGAGATATTCTAGTATTGTTACTGTAGCTCGAGTGTAACTTTTATGTAGCAGCTGCTGCCAATTGTGATCCAATCTGATAACGCGACTGTTGTTACTGTATTGACTAATGACTCGCTGGTCACTTCTGCATACTTGTTACTGTATTGACTAATGACTCGCTGGCCAGTTCTGCATACGGCCATCTCATGTTGGAGATCAAGAAACTCTGGACTTGCGTGGGTATATTTAGAGGTGTTTATAGTTTAGATAGTATAGGAAGATCTGATGATAACACTGGTTGCGTCGTGTGCCAGACAATGTTACTCATGTTGTACTAGTAAATTAAACTTCTCTTAAAACCCACGTTAGAGCAACTTCAATGGAGCGACCTATTTCGTCCACGGCCGTCCGTTTGGGTCGGCGCGGACAGAAAAGGTGTCCCAACGCGTCGATCCAAACGGACGCGTGTCCATTTTTCGTCAGCCGACGACCCATTCCCGAGCCATTTTTGAGCCTAATTTGCGTCGGCGCGGACACGCGACGGAGGCGTGCGCGCTCGCCTACTCCTGTCCCCGGGCCCGCTGGTCTGTGACACATTGGCCTCCCCTCCCCCCGGCCAACAAGCAACCCTCGCCCCCGCCTCCTCCGTCACCGCCGCTGTCGCCCATTTTTGCCGGCAACTCTTCCAGCTGCCGCCGCCTCCACATCCGCCCAGCAGCGCCGCCCCTGCTCCCAGTCGCCCGCCGCCGCCGTTTTGCCGTCGGGGAGCAAACTGGTTCCCGCCGCCGCTTCCCCCACCGCCCAGCCGCCCGCGACCAAGAAGACGCCTCGCCGCCCCGCCACATACGGCCGGCACGCTCGTCCGACGCCGTCACACTCGTCGGACTCCGGCAGAGCAGCTTGCTGGTCTGTGGGCGCCGCGTCTCCCCTCGCCGGCCGTCTCCTTCTTCGACGCCCGCAAGCTGTTCGACAGTTTGCTAAGGTACGAAAATGGACTCCGTCAACGAGTTCTTTTTCCACAATTTCATTTGCGACTCCGACGATTCGTCGTCCGACGACGAGGAGGAGATATTGGCTGCCTTGTTGATCCATCACCACCTCAACAACCAGCGGCCGTTATTCCGTGGCTCCATTCCGGGCCACCTTCCGGCGTTGAATCGTAACCAGGAAAGCGGGCATTTCCTTCTCTGGAAGGACTACTTTGATACAACAAACCCGTTGTTCAAACATCATAAATTCCGCCGCCGGTTTCGTATGAGTAGGCATGTTTTCAACCGTATTAGAGAAGGAGTGGTCGGCTATGATGACTACTTTGAGTGCAAAGAGGATGCCGTCGGCAAGATTGGTTTCTCCTCTTATCAGAAATGCACTGCCGCCATCCGAATGCTTGCATACGGAGTGCCCGGTGATCTCATTGACGAGTACGTCCGTATGAGCGAGTCTACATGCCTAGAGTCCCTGTATAAGTTCTGCAAGGCTGTGATTGTTGTGTTTGGCCCTGAGTACTTGAGAGAGCCGACAACTGAAGATACAACCCGTTTGTTGGCGATGAATGCTAGCAGGGGCTTCCCGGGGATGCTTGGCAGCATAGACTGCATGCACTGGGAGTGGAAGAACTGCCCTTCTGCTGGGCAAGGGCAGTATAGGGGACATGTCAGGGCTTGCACTATCATACTAGAGGCCGTGGCGTCTCAAGATCTCTGGATCTGGCACTCTTTCTTTGCCATGGCTGGATCACACAATGATATCAACGTGTTGGGGAACATCGCAGAATTTTAAAATTTTCTACGCATCACCAAGATCAATCTATGGAGTCATCTAGCAACGAGGGAGAGGGGAGTGCATCTACATACCCTTGTAGATCGCGAGCGGAAGCGTTCAAGAGAACAGGGTTGATGGAGTCGTACTCGTCGTGATCCAGATCACTGATGACCGAGCGCCGAACGGACGGCACCTCCGCGTTCAACACACGTACGGTTGGGGAAGACGTCTCCTCCTTCTTGATCCATCAAGGGGAAGGAGAGGTTGATGGAGATCCAGCAGCACGACGGCGTGGTGGTGGAAGCAGCGGTGATCTCGGCAGGGCTTCGCCAAGCTCCAACGAGAGGGAGAGGTGTTACGAGGGGAGAGGGAGGCGCCGGGGACTTGGGTGCGGCTGCCCTCCCTCCCCTCCACTATATATAGGGCCCCTAGGGGGGCGGGGGCCAAGGGGGAACTTGCCCCCAAGTCAGGTGGGGCGCCCCCCACCCCTAGGGTTTCCAACCCTAGGCGCAGGGGGAGGCCCATGGGGGGCGCACCAGCCCATCAGGGGATGGTTCCCCTCCCACTTCAGCCCATGGGGCCCTCCAGGATAGGTGGCCCCACCCGATGGACCCCCGGGACCTTTCCGGTGGTCCCGGTACAATACCGGTGACCCCCGAAACTTTCCCGGTGGCCGAAACTGGACTTCCTATATACAATTCTTCACCTCCGGACCATTTCGGAACTCCTCGTGACGTCCGGGATCTCATCCGGGACTCCCAACTTTCGGGTTACCGCATACTAATATCTCTACAATCCTAGCGTCACCAAACCTTAAGTGTGTAGACCCTACGGGTTCGGGAGACACGCAGACATGACCGAGACGACTCTCCGGTCAATAACCAACAACGGGATCTGGATACCCATGTTGGCTCCCACATGCTCCTCGATGACCCTCATCGGATGAACCACGATGTCGAGGATTCAAGTAATCCCGTATACAATTCCCTTTGTCAATTGGTACGTTACTTGCCCGAGATTCGATCGTCGGTATCCCAATACCTCGTTCAATATCGTTACCGGCAAGTCACTTTACTCATACCGTAATGCATGATCCCGTGACCAAACACTTGGTCACATTGAGCTCATTATGATGATGCATTACTGAGTGGGCCCAGAGATACCTCTCCATCATACGGAGTGACAAATCCCAGTTTCGATCCGTGTCAACCCAACAGATACTTTCGGGGATACCTGTAGTATACCTTTATAGTCACCCAGTTACGTTGTGACATTTGGTAGACCCAAAGCACTCCTACGGCATCCGGGAGTTACACGATCTCATGGTCTAAGGAAATGATACTTGACATTGGAAAAGCTCTAGCAAACGAACTACACGATCTTGTGCTATGCTTAGGATTGGGTCTTGTCCATCACATCATTCTCCTAATGATGTGATCCCGTTATCAATGACATCCAATGTCCATAGTCAGGAAACCATGGCTATCTGTTGATCAACGAGCTAGTTAACTAGAGGCTCACTAGGGACATGTTATGGTCTATGTATTCACACATGTATTATGATTTTCGAATAACACAATTATAGCATGAATAATAGACAATTATCATGAACAAGGAAATATAATAATAATCATTTTATTATTGCCTCTAGGGCATATTTCCAACAGTCTCCCACTTGCACTAGAGTCAATAATCTAGTTACATTGTGATGAATCGAACACCCATAGAGTCCTGGTGTTGATCATGTTTTGCTCGCGGAAGAGGTTTTGTCAACGGATCTGCGACATTCAGATCCGTATGTACTTTGCAAATATCTATGTCTCCATCTTGAACATTTTCACGAATGGAGTTGAAGCGACGCTTGATGTGCCTGGTCTTCTTGTGAAACCTAGGCTCCTTGGCAAGGGCAATAGCTCTAGTGTTGTCATAGAAGAGAGTGATCGGCCCCGACGCATTGGGTATGACTCCTAGGTCGATGATGAACTCCTTCATCCAGATTGCTTCATGCGCTGCCTCCGAGGCTGCCATGTACTCTGCTCCACATGTAGATCCCGCCACGACGCTTTACTTGCAACTGCACCAGCTTACTGCCCCACCATTCAAAATATACATGTATCCGGTTTGTGACTTAGAGTCATCCAGATCTGTGTCGAAGCTAGCATTGACGTAACCCTTTACGACGAGCTCCTCCTCACCTCCATATACGAAAAACATATCCTTAGTCCTTTTCAGGTACTTCAGGATGTTCTTGACTGCTGTCCAGTGTTCCATGCCGGGATTATTTTGGTACCTTCCTACCAAACTTACGGCAAGGTTTACATCAGGTCTGGTACACAACGTGGCATATATGATAGTCCCTATGGCTGAGGCATAGGGGACGACACTCATCTTTTCTCTATCTTCTGTCGTGGTCGGACATTAAGCTGAGCTCAATTTCACACCTTGCAACACATGCAAGAACCACTTCTTGGACTGATCCATATTGAACTTCTTCAATATCTTATCAAGGTATGTGCTTTGTGAAAGACCTATGAGGCGTCTCGATCTATCTCTATAGATCTTGATGTCTAATATGTAAGCAGCTTCTCCAAGGTCCTTCATTGAAAAACACTTATTCAAGTAGGCCTTAATATTGTCCAAAAGTTCTATATCATTTCCCATCAAAAGTATGTCATCCACATATAATATGAGAAATGCTACAGAGCTCCCACTCACTTTCTTGTAAACGCAGGCTTCTCCATAAGTTTGCATAAACCCAAACGCTTTGATCATTTCATTAAAGCGAATGTTCCAACTCCAAGATGCTTGCACCAGCCCATAGATGGAGCGCTGGAGCTTGCATACCTTGTTAGCATTCTTAGGATCGACAAAACCTTCCGGCTGCATCATATATAATTCTTCCTTAAGAAAGCCGTTAAGGAATGCCGTTTTGACGTCCAT